CTCTAAGGATATATTTTATAAGAATATCGAGGCTGAAATTTGCGAAATCTTAAGAAATACTTTAAGAATAAACCCGGCCTAGGCTGAAATTTTGAAAAGGATATAATTTTGTGTGGTGAAAAACTGTAAATACAACACAAATAATCGTTTTCAATTTATTCCTTTCTTTAAACGGCAAAACTAGCTAATTATATTTAACAAAGCTATAATTGATACCCCAATGTATTCTAGAACAGAAATGTCATAAGCTATTGTTAAGAATAGTACAAGAACATTTACAGCCTAAAATTGGTGGGAAAATGAGAATATTCAGCCTGGCCAGGGAAAACAACATTCTTATAAAAAAAGAGTGTAACTCAAGGCTGAATACTCGGTAATTCTAGTCTGGTCTTTACAGCTTTGTGTTTCTTTCAGTTGTTTGCAAAAGCTGCAGTCAGTCAGAAAACAGCAGCACGTCTTCGTCGGGCTGATACGGTGCCGAGAGTTCAGAAAAGTTTTTTAGTTGTTCAAGTTAACTTCGAACTATGATGTGCCCTGTGCCAGGCTCAGGTGAAATGAACTGGACTGATCAGTGATTTTAATGACTTTTCATGTTACCTGTCCATTTCAAGCTTGACGTATGACAACTTAATGTACATTACAGGCGAGTGTTATATGCATTATTAGCCAACTTGAAGTCAGATGGCCGAAAAAAGGTATAATTAGTGATAGCAACAATGGTTTTAATTTTTGTGTTCGTTATGGGAGGCGACTATTTGACCATTTGATTACACATACTAATATCATAGGTGACGAATTACTCCTTAATCTTGGCGCGAAATTTCAGCGTTAATTTGTAATTTCACATGCGAAATTACTAAATTTCCATGGCAACCAGACGTACGTCTCCGTTTCAAGATGGCGGCGAAGTTTTAAAATGTCATCAATAACGATGTCAGGGCATAAAAAGACGCTTTAGAAAACCTGAACACACAAAAGAGCACATCAAGAAGGATTCTTAGAGGTATGTTGTCGAAAAATTCTGAAAACTTATGCCAAATTTCAGCTTTAAACGTTTGAGAAAGTGGAGTTTACGATCGATCGATACGATCCAGGATAAACAAGTCAAAAATCCTTGATTGCTAAGGTAATTCGTCACCCATGATATTAATAGATAACCAAATGGTATACTCGTGAAATTAGGGAATAATTTCACTTCCGTTTTGTCCAAATTATAAGGATTTGGACAAAACGCGCGAGAAATTATTCCCTAATTTCACTCGTCGCCATCTGATTACACATACTTATTATTATTATTCTTTTTAACTTGTTTTTCCTTTTAATATCAGAGACGGATTGGTAATGACTTAATTTAAAACTCTGGACTGCCTGCAAGAGCTAGTGCGAACCGCATCTGAACCGCAAGGAATGTATTTGTGAAATCGTTCTTGACACAGTGATTGCTATTTTTATCAATTTATACTATTGTTAATGTTATATAGTGCTTAATTCTTACTCCAAATATTTCTGTAAATTATGTACATATTTTTTAAAGTTGAATAAAATTATTATTTATTATTAATAATGATAATGATGATAATAATAATAATAATAATAATAATAATAATAATAATAATAATAATAATAATAATAATTATTATTATTATTATTGTTATTATTACAACGGAGGTCGTCACGATTGTTATCCCCATTTTCCTCGGTTTCCGCTAAAAACCTCTGGGACCATGGCCGACCATTTGGGGAAGACTGACGAAAAAAAAAAAAAAAACGGCTGAAGTTTTAGATTCTCGCCCTGCAAAAGCTAGCTCGACTAATTAAACGGCAGTTGATAAGACATGAATAAAGGAAACGATCAGTACTTTTAGTTATTTATCAGTATGATTTTTCCGCTGAAAAGGATAATAAACTAACTCGATCGACAGAAGAGTTGCCTTAATGTTTCTTTTACAGCTTCTCTTACTTCACTGATCTTCCAACAGTACAGCAAGGGATTTAAAGACGAGTTTACGTAAACTAAAGTAGCCGTAAAATGCCAAGCACGATATGCGGATATAGGTATCCCTCTTTGAGGCATCAAAGCGACCGCTATAGTAAACGGCAGATAACAAACAACCATTGTTCCCTGTACCCACAGTGCACTGTACACTGCCTTTCTGTATCGAGCTATGTTCAGTGGAATTGCTTGTCTCGGTTGTCCTTGAGCAACATGGTTCTGAAAATGAATTTGGTTATGACGCAGAGTACAGAAAATTTTTGTGTAAGCGAAGATTATAGTGACTAGACACAATCCTGCAACTATGTATTGATACCATGTGGTTATAAATAGATTCCAAATAATAGTAGATGCACCAACGATGGACAAAATCCAAAAACCTATCACAGTTATACTCGTTCTTCTCAAAGTTACAACTTGTCTGTATCTGAGCCCCAGCAACAAGGCGAGAAGTCTGTCCACGCTTATTGCAGTCACCGTTAATAAAGATACTGCACACAAAGTATAACCCGAGAAAGCTGCTGTCCGAAAAGAATAATAGCAAATATCCCATCTTTCTTTCAAGACAGAAGTCCAATTTGTCACATACAAAGGCTCCACAATGATACCAACACAGAGATCAGTTATCGCTAGGTTACGATACAGGAGTTTGGACGGCGGATGAAGTGAAGTTTCCTTGTGTAGAGCAACTAGGATCAGAGTGTTCCCCAGAAATACAGTAATGGAAAGAAAAATATTAATTGCTGAGAGAAAGATAAGCTCGCTATCTACACCTCTAAAAAACTCCGGCGAGCAGACCAGTTCTTTGAATGTTTTCTGGTTTTCATCTTCAGTAAAGTTTGTCAGTGCCATATTTCTCTGTCATGAAACGAGATGTACGTGAGGGCTTTATTTAGTATCGCTCTTTTAGATTGAGTGGAAAGTGATATTGATGTAGATTCGCACATCATTTTCAATATGCAAATACACTCCTTTTTTCTCTAAGGATATATTTTATAAGAATATCGAGGCTGAAATTTGCGAAATCTTAAGAAATACTTTAAGAATAAACCCGGCCTAGGCTGAAATTTTGAAAAGGATATAATTTTGTGTGGTGAAAAACTGTAAATACAACACAAATATACGTTTTCAATTTATTCCTTTCTTTAAAAGGCAAAACTAGCTAATTATATTTAACAAAGCTATAATTGATACCCCAATGTATTCTAAAACGGAAATGTCATAAGCTATTGTTAAGAATAGTACAAGAACATTTACAGCCTAAAATCGGTGGGAAAATGAGAATATTCAGCCTGGCCAGGGAAAACAACATTCTTATAAAAAAAGAGTGTAACTCAAGGCTGAATACGCGGTAATTCTAGTCTGGTTCTTTAAAGCTTTGTGTTTCTGTCAGTTGTTTGCAAAAGCTGCAGTCAGTCAGAAAACAGTAGCACGTCTTCGTCGGGCTGATACGGTGCCGAGAGTTCAGAAAAGTTTTTTAGTTGTTCAAGCTAACTTCGAACTATGATGTGCCCTGTGCCAGGCTCAGGTGAAATGAACTGGACTGATCAGTGATTTTAATGACTTTTCATGTTACCTGTCCATTTCAAGCTTGAGGTATGACAACTTAGTGTACATTACAGGCGAGTGTTATATGCGTTATTGACCAACTTGAACAACTATGGTTTTAATTTTTGTGTCCGTTATGGGAGGCGACAAAGTGAAAAACTTCTTTAATGCTGAAAACGATACCTGAAAGAAACCTACCTCGGCTAGTATTAGGGTATATAAAAATTTGTGCGCTGTCTGCCATTTCACTGCATTGGATTTACTCGCAAACCATTCTCGTAATTACGTGCTTTCCATATCAATATTTATTTTACTAGTTTTTCCCCATATCTATGTTGTGTAAACTAATCTTCAAAGCGCATGGTGACTTAATTCTTAGTTCTTCCAGTTTTCCCGAATTGTTGCACTCTCAGGAGATGTCTTTGTTTGGTTACAACTAAAAGCTTCAAATAGACAGAAAAAAACCTTAAAGTTAGGTTGGGTTATAACACGTGTATTGATCTCTGTATCAGTTCTTCCCACGCGCTACTTTTAGGACAGGGAGTCCAATCAATCCGCCTGACACGTTTAATTACGGCTGCCATTTCACTGCTCCCTCACCCCTCGCGTGTCTCCCTCGCGCGCGCCCTTTCTTTCTTTCGCCCACTACTTGCAAGCGCCTGCTACGCAGGCTAGGAATGATTAGCAATGATTCCGAGGTCTAAAACACGGACGTGTTCCGACCCCGGGTTTCGCGACTTGTCAATCAATCCATTATCACCTGCATAATAATCAGGACGTTCTTGACGCCTGCTTCCACCAAACGGCTGGTACAAGGCGTGATCATTGCATGCATTTATTACTGCAACGGTCTTCTCTATGGTGTACCAGCTGTGCATCTTTCCAAATTGCAACGTCTTCGATTCAGAATTCCGCAGCGCGACTTATCACCGATACACCCAGGTACGGTCATATTAACCCAGTACTGCTTGCACTGCATTGGTTACTGGTGAAGTTCCGAATTTGCTATAAAATCGCCGTGATCTCTTTCAAGGCTATTCACAATCTGGGGCCTGCGTATTTAAGCAATCTCATAAATATTAAACGATGTTTCCGCTATAGCCTGCGGAGTAATGCGGGCGTTATTTTGCAAGACCCTACCGCTAAGTTTCAAATGCACTCTTAGGGACAGAGATCATTTACTGCAGCTGCTCCAAAGATATGGAACGGTTTACCGGACTATATTAGGAAAGAGCATGATTTTGGATATGTTTAAGAGACTCATTAAGACGCTCTATTTTATAGAGGCCTAATGCGACCTGTCTGGAGCTATCTAAGGTTTTTATTTTCTACTTTTATCTTCTCTTTCTACTTCTTAATTGTTATGAGTTATGCTAAATTACCTATTAGGAAGGAAATGTAACAAATGATTAAACTTTAGTATATAGAGATTCGAGAGTTATGCGCATTTGATCATATTTTTCAATGTTAAAATGCGCAATAAAAGCAATGACTGTCGACTCTCAGAACTTTTTAGGAACTCTTTCAAATAAGCTTTCGACTAAGAACAATGAATCCTACGCCAGCGTTATTTCCTGGCTTCGAATACAGCTCTCATTTGCTATATTAACAACTGTACACAGATGCGTCAGAGGTTCTAGATATCCATCCAAATCGCGTGAGGTCTCAGAAGACTTCACTTTCGCTGTAGCTGGTCTACATCTGCACTCATAATTTTAGGCCTATATAGATTTTTGATAGTTTTTTTCTTAGTAATGCTTAATTTTCCTTTTCCCACTTTTAAATTATTCACAATTGTAAATAGTTTTTCTATCGTGGACGTATATTTAGTTTTTAATTTGTAAACCATACGATGTAGTTTAAAATTGTAAATCTTACTTATTATTCTGATACTTAAATAAAGATTGGTTTATGAATATTATTATTATTATTAGTTTTTTATTCTTTTTAACTTGTTTTTCCTTTTGATATCAGAGACGGATTGGTAATGACTTAATTTAAAACTCTGGACTGCCTGTAAGAGCTAGTGACCGCATCTGAGCTGCAAGGAATGTATTTGTGAAATCGTTATTGACACAGTGATTGCTATTTTTATCAATTTATATAGCCTGCGAGCGACAGACGTTTCTCCTCGCTCATCGCCGCAGAGGGACGTTTAGCCAGGAGGAACGTCTGCGACTCATCGACAGAAATTCCATACTGATGACGCAAAATCTGTCCGGAATCCGGTCAGAAGCGCTAATTGGTCGACGGAATAATTTCATTGTTTTAGCCATTGTTTACGAATGACAGACAAAAGACAAAAGGCCACAAAGGTCAAATGTAAACGCGATGAATCTCTAACAAAACAGCCAATATTTGTGGAATATAGTCTTCTCTTGAAGAAGCATTTGAGTTTAGGTGGGGCTCATTCGCAGATGATCAGTTTACCAAAATCGACCAGGAGAAATGTAAAATTGAACAAATTTGCATTTGAAACCCCATGACTAACGGATTTATTATGTAAACATTGATTTACGTCATCAGTATGGAATTTCTGTCGCTGAGTCGCAGACGTTCCTCCTTGCGAAACGTCCCTCAGCGGCGACGAGCGAGGAGAAACGTCTGCCGTTGTTAATGTTATATAGTGCTTAATTCTTACTCCAAATATTTCTTTAAATTATGTACATATTTTTTAAAGTTGAATAAAACTATTATTTATTATTAATAATAATAATGATAATAATAATAATAATAATAATAATAATAATAATAATTATTATTATTATTATTATTATTATTATTATTATTATTATTATTATTATTATTATTACAACGGAAGTCGTCACGATTGTTATCCCCAGTTTCCTCGGTCTCCGCTAGGAACCTCTGGGACCATGGCCGACCATTTGGGGAAGACCGACGGTAAAAAAAAAAACGGCTGAAGTGTTAGATTCTCGCTCTGCTAAAGCAAGCTCGACTAATTAAACGGCAGTTGATAAGACATGAACAAAGGAAACGATCGGTACTTGTAGTTATTTATCAGTATGATTTTTCAGCTGAAAAGCATAATAAACTAACTCGATCTACAGAAGAGTTGCCTTAATGTTTCTTTCACAGCTTGTCTTACTTCACTGATCTTCCAACAGTACAGCAAGGGATTTAAAGACGAGTTTAAGTAAACTAAAGTAGCTGTAAAATGCCAAGTACGATATGCGGATATAGGTATCCCTATCCCTCTTTGAGGCATCAAAGCGAGCGCTATTGTAAACGGCAGATAACAAACAACCATTGTTCCCTGCACCCACAGTGTACTGTACACTGCCTTTCTGTATCGAGCTATGTTGAGTGGAATTGCTTGGCTCGGTTGTGCTTGAGCAACATGGTTCTGAACATGTATTTGATTATGACGCAGAGTACAGAAAATTTTTGTGTAAGCGAAGATTGTGGTGACTGGACACAAAGCTGCAACTATGAATTGATACCATGTGAAAATAATTAGATTCCAAATAATAGTAGATGCACCAACGATGGACAAAATCCAAAAACCTATCACAGTTATACTCGTTCTTCTCAAAGTTACAACTTGTCTGTATCTGAGCTCCAGCAACAAGGCGAGAAGTCTGTCCACGCTTATTGCCGTCAATGTTAATGCAGACACTACACACAAAGTATAACCTGAGAAAGCTGCTGTCCGAAGTGAATAATAGCAAATATCCCATCTCTCTTTCACGACAGAAGTCCAATTTGTCACATACAAAGGCTCCACAATGATACCAACACAGAGATCAGTTAACGCTAGGTTACGATACAGGAGTTTGGAAGACGGGCGAAGTGAGGTTTCCTTGTGTAGAGCAACTAGGATCAGAGTGTTCCCCAGAAACGCAGTAATGGAAAGAAAAATATTTATGGCTGAGAGAAAGATAAGCTCGCTATCTACACCTCTAATAAACTCCGCCGAGCAGAACAGTTCTACGAATGTTTTCTGGTTTTCATCATCAGTAACGTTTGTCTGAGCCATACTCATCTGCGATGAAATGAGGTGCAAGTGAGGGCTTTGATATGATTCGCACAAGTTTATCACTATTAACTTAAGGCTGTTTATATCATTACTAGACAGTTTGTCAGTGCCATATTTCTCTGTGATCGATGAAACGAGGTTTCCGGTGTACGTCCGGGCTTTATCATGTCATTTACGTATCGCCCTTTTAGATTGAGTGGAAAGTGATATTGATGTCGATTCGCACAATCATCATTTTCACTACGCTAAATAAATACACTCGTTTTCTCCATAAGAATATATTTTATGAGAATATCGAGGCTGAAATTTGCGAAATCTTAAGAAGACTTTAAGAATAAACCCCAGGCTGAGATTTTCAAAAGGATATAATTTTGTGAGGTGAAAATGTGTAAATACAATACAAATATAAGTTTTCAATTTATTCCTTTCTTTAAACCGCAAAACTAGCTAATTATATTGAAAAAAACTATAATTGATACCCAAATATATTCTAAAACGGAAATGTCATAAGCTATTATTAAGAGTAATACTGAAGAATATTTACAGCCTAAAATCGGCGGAAAAATAAGAATACTCAGCCTGGCCAGGGAAAACAACATTCTTATAAAAAAAGAGTGTAACTCAAGCCTGTCAATACGCGGTAATTCTAGTCTGGTCTTTAAATCTTTGTGTTTCTGTCGGTTGTTTGCAAAAGCTGGAGTGAGTCAGAAAACAGTAAGCACGTCTTCGTCCGGGTCAATACGGTGCCGGGGATTCAGAAAAGTTTTGTAGTTGTTCGAGCTAACTTCGAACTATGATGTGCCCTGTGACAGGCTCAGGTGAAACGAACTGGACTGATCAGTGATTTTAATGACTTTTCATGTTCAGGGGCACCCAACGTCAATTTTCGGAAAATATCACAGGTAGCCCAAGCTCGAAATAAGCGCATCGGCATTGTTAACCTACGAAAATGAAAGGATATCAATAAAAAAACAGCTTGCCTTACTTAAAATGTGTGTTACGTCTTTCCTCTGTGGTCCACGGGCCGATTTATGGCCGTTTTATGGGTTTTTATGTAAACGGTTTTCTCTCTATGTAAAGGTTTTATATAGACAGAAAATCGTTTACATAAAAACCCATAAAACGGCCATAAATCGGCCCGTGGACCACAAAGGAGAGACGTAACACACATTTTAAGTAAGGTAAGCTGTTTTTTATTGAAATCCTTTCATTTTCGTAGGTTACAGAAACGATATGTTTTTTTCCCATACAAATCCCTATATTTTGAATGTTACGCAACAATGCCGATGCTCGCGATGCTCGCCGATGCTCGCCGATGCTCATATTTCGAGCTTGGGCTCTGGGCTGTGGGCTACCTGTATAGTAAAAATATCTGTTCGGAAGACGATTTGAGATCTAGAATTTTCGGAGCATTTGTTGTAACATTTCTTGCTTTCCTGCCTCTCCTAGGACTTTCGAACATCTAAAAAATGGTATAATTGCCAATTTTTAACGGATTTTTACCCTAAAAAGGTCACCTAGAATTTTCGGGAGCCTGTTCTAATGCCTGAAATTTTCGAAAAGGTAAGTTTTAATCCCTATGATTTTCGGATCACTAGACTTCAGCTAGGAGATCCGAACAAATGAAAATATGCCTATAGGAATGAAAATATGCCTATATCTACCGTTTAAATACTAAAATACGTTTAAAGGAGCTGTGTCACGGTAGTCCAGTTCATTTTGTCTAATTTCGCCTATTACTCGCTCTCAATCGCTATGGAACTTAAAGTAAGCAAAGAAGATTACACGTAAATGACAAAATCAGAGATTTGAGACAACCAAATATGTCTCCTAAGCATCATTTTTGAAGTTGCAAACAACAGAGATAAACTTTAAAAAACTGTTAAGCTGAACAGTTTTCAAAAACCCTAATTTGAATTTGGTTCATCTTCTTTAGTTTTGCCCATCCGTGGCATCTGTTGTTTCTGTTATGTTATTTTCACCTTCCTTTAATGTTTAAGGCGGTTATTTTAGGTTTCTCTTAATTTAACGGGCATTTTGTAATTACCTAATTTGGCTGATCTTTCGTGACACAGCTCCTTTAACAATGCTATGCTAAAGTGGTTTTGAACTATACTTGGGTGCCCCCGCATGTTACCTGTCCATTGCAAGCTTGACGTATGACAACTTAGTGTACATTACAGGCGAGTGCTATATGCATTATTAACCAACTTGAAGTCAGATCGCCGAAAAAAAGGTATAATTAGTGATAGCAACAATGGTTTTAAGTTTTCTGTCCGTTATGGAAGGCAACTAAGTAAAAAACTTCTTAAATGCTAAAAACCACACCGGAAAGAAACCTCGGCTAGTAGTAGCGTATATAAAAATTTGTGCCCTGACTGCCATTTCACTGCACTGCATTTACTCGCAAGTTATTCTCACAATTATGTGCTTTCCATATTAATATTTATTTTACCAGTTTTTTCCCCATATCAATATTGTGTAAACTAATCGTCAAAGCGCATGGTGACTCAGTAATTCTTAGTTCTTCCAGTTTTCCTGAATTATTGCACTGTCAGGTGATGACTCAGTGTTTGGTTATAACTAAAAGCTTCAAATAGATAGAAAACAACCTTAAAATTAGGTTGGATTATGACACGTGTATTGATCTTGTATCAGTTGTTCCCACGCGCTACTTTTAAGACAGGGAGTCCAATCAATCCGCCTGACATGTTGTAATTACGGCTGAGCTCAATTTTCGGCTTTACTACAAGCGAATAACTGACATTTCTAGAAAAACCCACGGAACTAACTTCCATTTTTGTAGCACTGTATATCACAGGTAGCCCAAGCTTGAAATATGAGCACCAGTGGGCATCGACATTGTTAAGTAACATTCAAAATATAAGGATTTGTATGGGAGAAAAAACCTATCGTTTCTGTACGCAACAATGCCGATGCTCGCCGATGCTCATATTTCGAGCTTGGGCTACCTGTGTATATATTAAATAGGGAACTGATATCTATTAACTTCCTCTCCCTGTCCCCTGTAGAATGATGCGTACTTGTGTTTCCACTCAAAGAAACAACATGTCTGTATCTGAGCTGTAGAAACAATGTAACAAGTCTGTCCACGCTTATTGCGGTCAGTGTTAAAGAGACACAGCTGAACATAAAGTATAACCTAAAACGATTGCTGCCAAATTGGCGTGATAGCAATATATCCCATCTTTCTTTCACAACAGAAGTCTAATAAGTCAAAACCAAAAGTTCATAAACAGTGTGTTCGTAGGCGGGTTGAATTTGTAGAAAATGTTAAGGCTGTAATCAGGGACAAAGCAAACTGTCCGTAATCAGAACGAGGTGTTTGTATTAAACTGGTGTCCATAAAGCGGGGTTTGAATGTTTTGTCATCTCTCTAAATTTATCAGGTAAAAGTGACTCTTCGTTAAGTGAACTGAGCCAGTAACATCCCATCAAAAAAAAAACTGTACTATAATTTTTGTACTGATCACGTTGGTTAAATTTTGTTTTATTTTCATTTTTACGTACAAACTCAAGCGAATGCATTTGAATTCATTTATTAACATATGACTTAACCCTAGGATGTACAAAGAGGGGGCGACGGGGAGGGGGAGGAAGCCGCTATTTCCCTCATTGATCCTTTTGGGGTGCAATGGACTCAAAGTATTTCACTGTGTATGGTTCGTTTTAAGATTCGTGGTTTTAGCATGAATTTTAAGTTGAAAAGCATAATAAACTACCTCGATCGACATAATAGTTGTCTTAATGTTTCTTTTACAGCTTGCCTTACTTCTCTGATCTTCAAACAGTACAGCAACGGGTTTAATGACGAGTTTAAATACAGTAAGGTAGCCGTAAATTGTCTAAAGAGGTATACCGATAAAGTCATCCTTCGTTGACGTGTCAAAGCTACCGTGATAACATACGGCACATAACATGCAACTAATGTGCCCTGCACCCACATTGCACTGCACACCGCCTTCTTGTATCGAGCTATGTTCAATGAAATTGCTAGGCTCGGTTGTATTTGATCAGCATGGTTCTGAACATGAATTTGATTATGACGCAGAGAAAAGAAAATTTTTGTGTAAGCGAAGATTGTGGTGACTAGACACAGAACTGTACCCATGTATTGACACCATGATCTTATAGGAGAATTCCAAAATAAAGTTGATGAGGCGACCATGGGCAAAATCCAAAAACCGATTGCAGTTATACAGGTTCTTCTCAAAGTTACAACTTGTCTGTATCTGAGCCCCAGCAACAACGCGAGAAGTCTGTCTACGCTTATTGCAGTCGATGTTAGTAAAGACACTGCACACAAAGTATAACCTGAGAAACGTGTTCCCTGAAGTGCGTAATAGCAAATATTCCATCTTTCCGTCACCACAGAAATCCAATGGGCCAGATTCAAAGGTTGCACAATGATACCAACACAGAGATCAGTTATCGCTAGGTTACAATACAGGAGTTTGGACGGCGGATGAAGTGATGTTTCCTTGCGTAGGGCAACTAGGATCAGAGTGTTCCCCAGAAATGCAGAAATCGAAAGAAAAATATTTAGAGCTGAAAGAAAGATGAGCTCGCCATCTACAGCTCTGATCTGAAATTCTGCCGAGCCGAACATTTCTTTGAATGTTTTCTGGTTTTCCTCTTCAGTAAAGTTTGCCAGTTCCATATTTCTCTGGGATGAAATGAGATGCAAATGAGGGCTTTATTTATATATCGCTCTTTTAAATTGAGTGGAATGTGATACTGATGATGAGTCGCACATCATTTTCACTGTGCTAACAGGGAGTATATATAAGCAAAGACGTTTTTGAGTGACGCGCGTCAACCGTAAGTGGGCTTTCGGCAAATCTTCTTTGTAACTAAAGAACACTTAGCAGTACAATTTTAGTAGAATTTAGGGATTGAATGAGAAAAGGCCTCACTTCCGTTTGGCGTACGTCGTCCAAAAACGTCTCTGCTTAAGTTCCCTAATAAGAAGAATAAGACTATTGTCATATTTTTCTTCATCTGTATGACTTTATCCCTAAGTGGCAAACTTCCCGTGCGAATGTGATGACAATTTTAAAAAGCTTGAATAAATTACCAAGTATATACAAGGGCTTTCAGTGCAGCTGAAAAATGGATGTTTAGAAGTACTGGAGTTGATGGCTGTATTTCTCCTCACAACAGACACCTGCGACGCTAAAAAGTGTTGAGAGTTTTTTGTAGATACTATATTTTTGCTTTGTTAAGGTTGGCTTCCAAAAGAGAAGGGACAAATACAAAGTTTGATGATTTGAAGTTCTTTAATCTTGCCCTGCATTCGGCGTAAAGTTGTTCTTCTTGTACCACCGTGCGAACTGTATTCGCCGTAGGTGTCTGATTACTCAGTTTCTTGCTGTAAAGCTTTGGGCAAGAATACCCTTGCAGAGAGGAGATACTAGTCAGTCGGCACTCTTCCTCTATTTGTCCGTCAACTTTCCCAAATGTGTCAACGTTGTATTTTAAGGTTAAATTTGGCCAGCATTCTGTGCAGGGAGTTCTACGGTCACGATTGACTTCAAACTTGCAAATATAAAACTAGAGAGCTCTGAGACTCATTTGCTGAAGGTAAAGAAAAATCTGTAGTGGTGGAGTTTCCTAGTTATCGACTTTTTGTGTAAAAATGCGATTTTAAACATATGCCGATAACTCGAACGTTTATATACGTACAAGAAAATAAAAAAAAAAACATTCTCTTAAAGTTGCACCATTCTTTATTACGGATGCCAAAAATCATAGAAATCGGTTAAATTATTTCCTCCGAAAAACACGATTCAAAAACACAACCAGCGCGCGTATAAACAGGTTCGGGCCACATTAACAAAGTTAATCCTTTGTGCCCTAAAGCGATCGATTATGAATAATGAATGACCAACAAGAATTGCATAAGAATAATGAATAATTGGAAGAAACATTCAAAGAATAATGAATAAACGAGGCTATTCAGCTTTCACCCCCGAAACACAAGTTCTTATTCGATTCATGAAGTCTTTCTCGAGTGCGCAAAACTAATTCTCGTCCCCAGAGCCACTCGCAAAACCAAAAGAAACGACGGGCTCTGTAGACGAGAATGACGAAAGGCTCTGCTGGCGCGGTGCGACTTTCGGGTTTTGTTTGCTCAAAAAAACCTCTTTCCTCTGGCGCGGGTTGTCTGCTTGTTCACTAGAAAAATGTTCCTGCTTCGTAACCGGGTGCATAAGGGAACATGAGGAAGTTTCAGGTTCAGGGTTCATACTCTTTTGAGCTCTACAAATTCGATGACTTTCCATGACTATTTCCATGACTTCCTCAAGTTTTACATGACCTTATGTTAAGCTGTCGCTTTCGAAAATTTTCCAAAACTT